GCAAGACACATGAAAGTCCGCATGGAGTTTGCTAAAAAACACCTGAAGGACTCCAAGATGGTGAGAAATAAGATTCTCTGGTCTGATGAGACCAAGATAGAACTTTTTGGCCTTAATTCTAAGCGGTATGTGTGGAGAAAACCAGGCACTGCTCATCACCTGTCCAATACAGTCCCAACAGTGAAGCATGGTGGTGGCAGCATCATGCTATGGGGGTGTTTTTCAGCTGCAGGGACAGGACGACTGGTTGCAATCGAGGGAAGGATGAATGTGGCCAAGTACAGGGATATCCTGGACGAAAACCTTCTCCAGAGTGCTCAGGACCTCAGGCTGGGCCGAAGGTTCACCTTCCAACAAGACAATGACCCTAAGCACACAGCTAAAATAACGAAGGAGCGGCTTCACAATAACTCCGTGACTGTTCTTGAATGGTCCAGCCAGAGCCCTGACTTAAACCCAATTGAGCATCTCTGGAGAGACCTGAAAATGGCTGTCCACCAATGTTTACCATCCAACCTGACAGAACTGGAGAGGATCTGCAAGGAGGAATGGCAGAGGATCCCCAAATGCAGGTGTGAAAAACTTGTTGCATCATTCCTAAAAAGACTCATGGCTGTATTAGCTCAACAGGGTGCTTCTACTAAATACTGAGCAAAGGGTCTGAATACTTATGACCATGTGATATTTCAGTTTTTCTTTTTTAATAAATCTGCAAAAATGTCAAACATTCTGTGTTTTTCTGTCAATATGGGGTGCTGTGTGTACATTAATGAGGAAAAAAATGAACTTAAATGATTTTAGCATATGGCTGCAATATAACAAAGAGTGAAAAATTTAAGGGGGTCTGAATACTTTCCGTACCCACTGTATATATTTTTTAATCAATAATCAGGCTTATAAAAAAAAAAAAGAAAGATGCCAGAGGACTGAGTGGATTTGTATTTAGAAATAGTATAGATTAATATAGGCCAACTGATAATACAGTATGAATACAGAGAAACAATTAAGAAAGCCTGATCTTTAATCAGTTGACAAAGGTCGTGGAAAAAGCTTTCTTCCACTGTACATGGTTGTGTTAATTAAAAGGGAAAACTCAACTGGTGGAAGCCATTTAAAAACACTGAACTGTAATCTTTAAATGGACAAGTGATGCTATTTTCTATGATTTACTTTATTTTATCCCATGATGTAGATGTGTGTTCTGAATAGCACAATTAATTTTAGGAAAAAACTACAATCACTCATTTCATTTTACATGACTGTGGTGCCATTCACTAGCCAAAGGGAACTAACTGTTTGGCAAGGATTATCTTTAGCACATAAAAAAACTTTCAGTGCCATTGCTACAATTGCTTCTGAGATGCTGCATATGATGTCCAAATCATCTAGAAAACAATTCTTGACCTCAGTATGACTGAATTTACCATCAATGGTGGAGGGGAGTAGTGTCGCTACTATCTCCCCCTGGCCTTTCTGGTTTTTGTAGAGGAAACACTGGAAACAGTAGAGGACTGCACAACGCAGCACAAATGGTTGTCTCTCATTCACCATGGACATGAGCAGAACCACAATGGCTGGTCTATGGAAAGATAAGAGGAGATATCAAAGAGGAAGTTGGATTTACTTCAGATGTACAGGTGAGACAATATCCCAATAAACTGCAAGGCAACACTCCTAATACAATTTGTTGCATCCCTACCTTGGTGGGTTTGACGGTGCATTGACAGAAGCAAAGTAGTCCTGGTTGACCTGAGAGCCTCTGATAACCTCTGATACAGTATTGATGGTCTGAAAGAAACCAGCCAGATTAGTTTGTCTCAAGGTAGCCAAGCCTGTTCTCTGCACTGGGTTTATTATTAAAATTACCTCAGTGAGGATGTCAGCAGGCACACCAGTGGCCATGAGGATGGTACACAGCTGCTGGAGCAGACCACACAGGTACATGGATTTCTGACAGCTGGCTGTAGCTCCAGGAGAGTTTACTGGAGACACCATGACTCGCACCAACTGGGATCAGGAGCAGAATATTGTCAAACACTTTAATAATACCACTGATCAGCATGATGAACTGAGATTAGAGGAATAGTCAGACATGACTGTTCTGTGTTACCTGCAGCATAAGGTGAAGGTTGGTGACTTTTTGTGCAGACCAACCAGAGTTATCATCACCAACCTCAAACCAGGGCTTCATTCTCTGGATGTAGGAGCCCTCTTTGAAGAAGTTTTGGTTGGAGCTGTTGTTCTTCAGAAGGTTGAGCAGCAGTAGCAGACAGTCCTCCACCACAATACCTGCAGAGGGAAGGGAAAGGATCAGGCCAAGACATGCACAAATATGAATAACCTTACCACTTTAATAAAAAATAAATAAAATATATGCGTAAAACACTACGTATTCGAATTCTAGACCTATACACAGGACTTATGTATTTCAATTATTTCTGTGTTACCTCCATCACTCCTGCCTTCTTCTGTGATAATTTCTAGGAGACGCTCAAATGCGTTCTCAAATGCCACAATTTTCTGAATGGCAGCATTGCTTTTAGTCAGCTGTTGCAGCAACAGCAAGCCCTGTTGGAAGGTGGAAAACAGGTCATCATGCATCTCCTGAAAATGTGGTCATCATAGCATTATGTTTATATATTCCTGTCATGATGTAAAGAGCAATATTCCACACTTAATTTCAGAGACTTTCTTTTGGGATTTAGTACAAAATGGAAGTGTAAACACAAGAGTAAAGTACACACATCATTGCGAATAACTTCTCTAGAATCAGCCAATAGGTCCATCAATCGGGAAACACCTATGAGGGGAAAAAAAAAAGGAAAATGAAATAAAAGGGTTATTATATACTGCTTGAAATATAAAAGGAACATTTTGTTCTCAAGAAATTGATGGCAAAGAACCAACATGCTGCACCTTACATGGATTCTGAGGGAATTACCAAATTTTCTAGAGTTTACAAGCTCTACAAATCAAAGCTGATAAAAAATTTAAAAAAATACAATAAAATAAACTGGTGGAGCAAGTCCTGAGTAAAATCCTGACCTTACATAACCATTGTGCTGTCATGTGAAGAGGAACTCACCCATGGGGCTGACCAGAATGATACCCTGAACTTGGACACACTGGTTTTTCAGCAGAGCAGTCAACAACTTCACTGCAGGCCACCGGACGTGGAAGTCAAACTCCTAAAATCACAACAATACAGAAACGTATCAGGCAGCAGTTTAGACAAATAAAATGAGCCAGAGCCCTTACCACTGGAGAAGTATTTCAGTACCTCCAGCAGAGTGAGAAGCAGAGTCACATGCTCAGGGTCCTGGATGAACTTGTCCGTGAACTGGGCACCGAGGTCATCTGCCTGCTTCTGTGTATTCTCATCTGCCAAGGGGAGAATGAAGCCAATTTCTGAAACTTCTGCAAGCAACACTACATCAGGAGTCATCAATCTAGTGAGGAACCATCTGATTTGTTCACAGCAATCTCACTCCTCTGTGCACCCATGTATTGCTTGTTGTCATCATTCAATGTCATTCCCTCAGACTGGTAAAAGTAATCAAAGAGCAGAACAACAACAGTGAACAGGTCAGTGGAAAAATGAGGATGTTTCACATTTGCTGGACATTTATGGAGAAGCTTCTGATCACACCAAACTGAAGAAACAAATTACAAATTTAGGACCTCAGTGACGTTCAGACCAGAGCTGGATAAGATGTCAGCTGCAAACATGAATGTGAACAATCAACATAAAAGGACTGGATCTGATAAAAGATCAAAATTGAGCATTAAGGCCTGTAATGTGAACGTAGTCTGTGTGAATTTGTCCAGTGAATATGAATATGCTCAGAATAATTGGTACTTGTGAACATGCATTCTAGAAAAACAAAGGGCAACAGACAGATGAGGGGACAGCTGGACGGGAGTTTGTGCTTAGTAGGGTTACTGTAAGAGGGATTCTACTGTGTACAGGAATAAATATTTAATGTAGAGTTTAACATAGTTGGGCGTATCTTCTCTCTAAGGATCCGTTATCCCACATTACAAAAAGACGTCACTGTTTTGAATTTATGGCTCAAATTTGATAAATTCAGTATAAAACCAACAAACCAACTTAACCAACAAATCTATATAATTAAAGCGTATAGTTTCACAACAAAGGCGTAAAAAGAATTAAAATGTAAGGACAGCTCAAGAACACAGAAATGACATTAACAGGAGTTGGGGAAAGTGATGGCATCAATGAAGCATACTTGTTACATACCACTCGGACCCCATCCAATCACTTTACCAGCTGATTTTAGTGAGGTTAGTTATCTAGTAGTACCAGAGCTACTGCATATATGGATTGGTTTCAGTAGTGACCAGTGTTGGACATATTCTTATGCTTCCCTGAGACAGGTAGAGGGGTTACTGTGTCTGCAGGGGGGAGGGGAAGTTTAAAGCTTCATCCAAAAGCTAACATTCATTCAATCGCTCTGAAAGTCCAGAATGAGTCGACTCCTTCTCATGAAGACATGCCATGACAACAACCAAAACAAAGCCGTGTAATCCATCAGCCTTTTACAATCTACAAATTACAGGTGTTAAAAAAAAGACTACTAATGTGCTCCGTTTCCACATCCAAGCCATGAAGAACCTGGTATTAGTAAGTGCTGCTGCATCATGCAAAGTCAAAGAATTTTACCTTCTGATTCATCTGTAGGGTTAAAACATGGAAGAGAAGAGAGAGACAAGAATCTTTACATCAAGCAGTCATCAGTGCATAGATGAGGGGAATGTGAATTGACACATCCAGTGGACATGTACTGAACTCATTTATGCATGCAAACAGAACAGTGGCTAAATCAAGACCATTTACTCCTGATTGTGTGGTTACTGTAATTATTTTTAAATGACAACCACTTTAGGGTCAATTTATTAATTTCTAATAATTGTGGAAGGGTCGAATACCTTGCTCTTCCTCCTCATCATTACAGATGATGTTGTACAGTGTGTCCAAAGCATAGCCAAGTATTTCAGAGTCAGACCTGTTCAATTTGCAGGAAGAATCAGAATATTAGCAGCACACAGGTTTCACTATTTATCATGTGTCAAACAAAACACTTCTACTACATGTTACTTTATAAAATGTGCAAAACTCTTTCTAGGGCAATATGATTGATATCAGACCAAACACAGTACAGTTATTACATCAAGTTACCTATCAGTCTGCAGTATGTTAACCAAGTGATCCATCGCCTGTGTGCCAACTTCCATGCGGTATTTCTACAAAAGATAATGGGCACGATAAGTTCATTTGTATAGCACTTTTCAACAAAAGAGCAATTTGAAGTGCTGTACATAAGACAACAAAAGGGAACCTAAACAGGTCAAAGAAGTTAGATTTCTACAGTGCAAGATATGAAAGACACAAAAGTCTTAACTTTAACAATGTGTTTTCTTTTAGTTTGTTCCTGATATGTGGTGCATTAAAATGGATTTCTGCTTCTCCATGTCACTGATGACCTAAGAAACCTGAAAATTTAACAGTGTTGCAGCAGATCAGAAATGCATTCTGGCCCTGAACAATCAAGAGCCATGTTTTAATAATACTCATAAAGGTCAACGACTCTATTGACAGGACAAGAAACTAAAGTAAATAAAGGAATTCCAACCCATACAAAAAAAAGTAAAATCACAACGATGAACTTTGCATTGTACTTTTTTTTTTTTTATATACAGGAAGTCTACACATTTGTGTCTGTGCTTCTGACCTGCACTGACACCATGGTGAGGTAACACGGTGCCTCCTAAACCCCTTTTTCATGGCTGATAAACTCATTACTCACAATTGATGGTGTAGCCAGTAACAAAACATCCATGAACAGAACTTGAGAGATGACTTGACAAAAGGTCTATGTCAATGATTAGTTCATTTTAATCTGCAGAGTTTGACACACAGGAGCTTTATCTATGACCCTTGACAACGGTTGTTGTTCGCACAGCTGCCAGACACAAATCTCTCTACCCACAAGCCCCATCATACAGAACATTCACTCGGTTGCCAGTTTATTAGGTACACCTAGATGAAACAATATAATAAAACAGGCCTTCAATAATGCCTACCTTAATTAGCCTACCATATAAAGCTTTTGTTAAAAATCTTTCTATCCTGTCCAGTGTTTCTATTATTTTGTTCACCGCAATTATATCACTAAGGTTAGAATAAAAATTAGAAACACCTGTTAGTAAATATGCAGTACAACAGAATAACATCATAAATTATGACCTCCAAATTAACCACAGAGCTGAATTAACTCCTCTACAACAAAAACTGAACATTACAAGCTTTAAGATAGGAGAATGCATTTGTTGTATATAAGAAAACTATAAACCTAACACTGGGTACTTCTAATGCACCCGTTTTCACTTACTGTCTGCTTATTCTGTACCATACCTTAGAGAGGGCCTTGAGTGCCCGGACAGCATCTCTGCGGTCTTCTAGGAGTGTTGAAGAGGCCACCCGGTCGCACAACTTCTGAATCTGTTAATGGAGGAATTGCTATTCATTTCTTCAGCAAAGATTTGGTTTCTGTTTTGTTTTTGTTTTTTTTTGTCTAGACAAAGAGGCATTTAGCAGGTCAGAGTGGGCATGACAGTACCACAAGGGGCCACAAAATACATCTGACAGGTTTTAAGATGATAAACATGAAAGGAATTAGGAAAAGATGTCCACTACACAAAGAAAGGTATGCATATTTTTGGGACTTTCTTGCCATCTTTGTCATTTTCTTTGTCGATTAGTGGATGATTTTACTAATGATAACAGAAAAATATGCAAATATACATTGTACATATAAATAAAGATACTAAGGATAATCGCCTTTATTGGCCAAGTATGTTACACACAAGGAATTTGTTTCTGGTACAAAACCGAGGCAGCCATCTGCGCCGCCAACTCAACCGATGGCTCTAACCATCGGGGGCAACGGGGGGTTCAGTGTCTTGCCCAAGGACACTAAGACATGTGGACTGCAGGCACCGAGATTCAAACCTCCGACCCACTGGCTGGGAGATGACTTTTCTACCCCATGAACCACCGTTGGACCG